AACATTCTATTTATTTGTATTATTTAATTTTTAAATAATAATTTTCCTTATTCTTTCACATTCACATACAAAATCGTTACTATAATTTAAGGTACTTGGCCTTTTTGAAATCTCATGTAAGCAATAAAGCGCAACCGGAAGGATCTATAGCGGAAGGTTACCTTTTGTGGGAGACAATTGCATTTTGTTCGAGATATTTAGAAAGTGTTGAGACTATGTTCAATAGACCTAGAAGGAATGAGGATGGTGTATCAAACATTGACAACTATTTGTATAACTCTGGTGGTCGTGTTGTTGGAAAGAAAGAAAATGTCTGTTTGGATGATAGAAGTTTAAAGCAAGCTCATTGCTATGTTTTAATTCATTATGATGAACTAACCCCGGTGGTCAAGTAAGTAGCATTATGAGTTTAGTTAAAGCGTCCAATATATACTTGTTACTAACATAAAATTTACAATCTCGATAGTGAGTTCTTAAAATTAAAGAGGCAAGAGAATGACATTGGAGGAAGTCAAGCTTATGAATCTATTGAAAATCAGTGGATAATTGATGAATTTGCAGATTGGTTGCAAAGCCAGGTCATATGCTTTTACATTTAGGGTCTTTTTATTTTCATATTATACAACTTTCTAATTCTAACTTTATTATTCTCGAATTATAGGTCCATAATTTAGATGATAGCACGGTAGAAGGAAAGTTAAGAAAAGCCTTAGCCGGTGGCTTGAGTAACCGCGGGAAAAGGATGAAAAGTGTTATTATCAATGGTTACAAATTTGATATTGTGGATGGTGAGCGATTTCGAATAACTCAGAATTCCGGAATCATGGTGGAAGCAGAGGGTCACGAATATTATGGAAAACTCAAAGAAATTTTGGAATTAGATTATTATGGTTCTTATAAGGTTGTATTGTTTCGTTGTGATTGGGTCGATATCCGTAGGGGTATCAAAACAAATCCAAATGGAAGTGTTCATATCAATTTCTCAAAGTTGATGCACACTGGTCGATTGTTGCGTGATGATCCATTTGTTTTCTCATCTCAAGCAAAACAAGTTTTTTTATATTGAGGATGAGATACAAAAAGGGTGGTGTCATGTTGTGAAAACTAAGCCTAGGGACTTGTTTGATATACCTGAATAATTTGTTTACAACTTTTATAATTTATTATAGATTTGAGTTCATAAATTTGGATGGGCGTGTATTTTTATATTTCATTTAGTTATTCTAATTCATCAAAGTTTGCATTTTGTTAACTTAATTTCTGTTTTTATGGTACTAATTAAGTAGTATTATCGTCTCGGTTTCTTATTGGTCGAATAACAACTGAATTCTAAAACTGAATTCCAAACTGAATCCAGAACTGAATTCAGAGATGAATTAAAAAACTAAATTCAGTTCTAGAATTCATTTCTGGAATAATCAGTTCTAGAATTCATTTCTGGAATAATTCAGTTCTGAATTGCAGCTCTGAACATCAGATTGTCCTTTTGGTCACATTTATTTCCTGTTATTTCAACTCTGATGCATTGATTATTGTTGTTCTTATTTTGTATTTCAGTTTAGATGTTTAGTTTAGCTGTACATATATTGTCTTGTCTTTATATCAGTTTTTTCTATATATATTGTCTTTACTTTCCACTGATATTGTGATTACATCAGTTCAGAACTGTAATTGAACTAAGTGCTGTTGCTGTTTGTAATGAACCCACTGTAATTGTGATATTGTGATTATAGTTCAGAACTATATAGTTTAGATACATAGTTTAGATCTTTATATCAGTTTATTTTGTATTTCAGTTTAGATGTATAGTTTGTATTTCATTTTATGTCTTGTCTTTATATCAGTTTTGACAAACTAATGTAGCTTGTCTTATGGTTTTATCAGGTAAAAGATGACTTATCGAAGCAAGAGAGCAAGGAAAATACTTGCTGCCACAGCTAAGTCAAATGCTACTGAAGTTGTTTCACAACCTACCAAAAAACAAGCTACTAAGTCACCACAGAATGAGGTACTTAAGGATGACAAATGGGGACCTTTTTCTCCACCCATTACCACTACAACGTCTGACCAACAACCACCTAATAGTTTAGGATCCATTTGGAAAAACCCTCCTGGTTCAACATCGAGTTCAGTCAAAGAGGCAGCTACATCAGGTTATCAGAATAAATACCCAGCAAAAGTCCCACCTAATATCCCACCTAATATTCCACAATCAAGTAGACCAAACTCATCATTGAACTCCCTTTCTACTTCTCATAAACCTCCCGAGCAAGCTGTGAGACGAGGAATTCAGAACCTTGAGACTGGTGCTGTTAAAACTTCAGCAACAACTCTACAGAATAATCAAGAACAAAAAAAAGGTGGAAAAGAATCAGAAAAGATCTCGAAACAATCTAAGTCTTTACGACCAAAAGCACTTCCGGATTGGCCTCTAGACATAGATTTTGACGACAAGGAGGAGGTTCTAACCATAGGTAAAAATTTCCCACTTAAATTAGTACTTTAATTTTTTTAAAACTGATTATTTCTTTTACCTTACTTTTCGTATTTACATTAGATGCCAATGGTAATACTACATTAGTAAGTGGTATAATTTTGCCAATTGACGTTTGGAGTAATAATGGCGTCCAATACTATGTTGAGTTCAATGATCTATGCCAGCCAATTAGGAAAGGTGGACATGTTTTGGTTAAATTCATTAGTATGATTGCAAAGATGGAAAGTCGATGTCCAGTTGGGGAGAAAGATTGGCATGCAATCGACAAGCATTTCAAAGGGAAGATAGTTAAAGATATAAGAGTACGTATATATGTCCCTAAGCCATCCCTTTTTATTGCCAAAACATACATGATTAGCCGGTCTTTTATTACTAATAGATTACTTACTGATTTATGTTTATAACTAATTTTATTTATTGAAGGAACACTTTGTGATTCCTCCTGGTGAGGAATATGACAACCAAGCTCTTAAGCGTGCTAATAAATGTTGGAGGCAGTACAAGTATTCTCTGAAACTGCTATATTACAAGCCAAAACAGAAGACATTAGATCAAATTTGCAATGATGTGCCACATGGAATTACTAGTAGTAATTGGGTAAAGTTGGTGAAATATTGGGATTCGGATAGAGGGAAAGTATGTTCAATACTTAGCTTACTGTGTATGAAGCGATATTTAATATCTAATTCAAAATTATATAATAAATACATACTCTTTGAATGTGAGTGCAGGATATGTCAGAATGCGGTAAAAAAGCACGAGCCTCCCAAAATCAGTTTCATAGATCTGGCTCTAAAAGTTTTGCAAACCGACAAGCTGATTATGTATGGAATATATATGTCATTTTATAATTACCTTGGATGGTATTAAGAGCATGTCTTTTTATATGCGGTTGATATTGTTGGCTTTTCATATTAAAGCTCCTATTGCTTTATTGTTTATAAGAAGATGAACATGGACAGAAAATGAGCTTGTTAGAGCTGTGGATTAAAACCCATACGGGTAAATACGAAAGCTTTCTTCCTAACACAATCACAGCTGATTTTGTGGTATGGTTTTATGACAGATTTCTAGTATGATTTTGTGCAAATTCAATGGTGTAATTTTGTGCAAATTTTGTGGTATAATTTGGTATAGGATGATGTTAAAGCTAAGGTTGAAGAGCTGAGGATGATACACCCTAAGATGTCTGAACAAGAGCTCGAAGATGAAGCATTTTAGCAAACTATGTATGGAATTGAGATTCCCGATCTTCCTGTGGGTTACGGACTAGGGGTTAAAAAGGGGGACATTTTCGGAGTACGTGGTGTGTTAAGGAAGGAAGGTTATGGAAAAGTTCAAAAGAGGACTATTGTGATGGATAATGTTAAAGAAGAAGTGAATGCTTTGCACAAAAAAATGCTACACTATCTCAAGAAAATGAAAAGCTGAAAGACTCAGTCGGACACAACAATCTTCTTCTTAGAGCGCTTGTTGGACAATTTTCTCAGATTGTAGGTGTCGTTCGTCAAGGGAATGCATCTCCGGATCTTTTAAACAAAGCATCTGAATTCTTAGGAAAGACAAAGCATCAGGTAACAAAATCATATTTCTCTTTATAACTAAAATCAGAGCTGAAATCCAGAACTGAATTCAGATCTGAAGTTCAGAACTGGAAAACAGACTTGAAATCAGAGCTGAAATCAAGAACTGAATTCAGATTTGAAGTTCAGAACTGGAAATCAGGCTTGAAATCAGAGCTGAAATCTAGAACTGAATACAGATCTGAAGTTCAGAACTGGAAATCAGACTTGAAATTCATTAGTTCAATCCTAAAATGCTTGTGTGTGTGTGAAATTCAAAGCTTGTGTGTGTGTGTGTGTGAAAGTCAAAGCTTGTGTGTGTGTGTGTGAAAGTCAGAAAATGTGTGTGTGTGTGTGTGTGAAAGTCAGAAAGTGTGTGTGTGTGTGCTTTTATACTGCTCCCCTGCTGCTGCTTTTATATTGCTCCCCTGAATTTTCAAATGATGAATTTAGTTGGTTTGTTGCGCCAGTGCAAGTGCAAGTATTTTGCTTATGGTCTGATGTGTCTGTGTTGATCCTTTGTGCTCAATATAATTGGATGTGTAACAAAAAATAAAACCAGTTTTTCTGTATATTGGACCGGTATTTTATGCACCCTTCAATTGAAAAATACTTATCGACGGAATAATTATAAGAAGCAATCTTTTGTAATAACCTTCTAAACTTTCTTGTTTGAATACAGTTGTTTCCTTTACTTTTTTATCATTCTTGAAAAGATAGCTTCTTATAATTATTTCGTTGATAAGTATTAATGATGTAATTGTATTATGAGCTTATGCTATGTATTTTAATAAGCCGCGCACCCCTACAACCCAACAGCTCAATTTTGACTTTCATTTGATTATAGGTCGCGTGATGTTTACTAGTAAGAATTCGGATATTTTGTTCTCTAGCATTGTCGGACCATACTGAGTGATTATACTTTGTCTTATGATGCAAATAATGAGCTCCCATAGCATTAATTATAACCATTAATAGGCCGCGCACCCCTACAACCTGACAGCTCAATTGGCAGTGTATTTTCATATGATGAGAAAATTAGAATTATCACAGTTGTTATCCCTGTCTGATGTGTCTGTGCTGATCCTTTGTGCTCTGATGTGTCTGTGCTGATCCTTTGTGCTCTGCTGTTACATTGTTAATCCTGCATTCTGCTGATTGATTGAAATATTGAGGCTTGTTATAATTTGCAGTTATATTGGAAATGTTCATCCATTATACCATTACCGATTCACTTTCCTTATTTTATTTTAAATTGCAAGATTATAAGATTATCTCAAAATTTTATATTACAGTTGATTTTAATAGTATGATATGATAAAGTATCAAGCATGTTTTGTTTCGAAAATTCCTCGATGCCAACTATATGGAAGTGACCAACTCTTTTTGTGCGTTTATGTTATGATCTGATTGTAGTTTTTCTACGTGTTCATGACTTGATATTATTTGTCTTTCTTTCTGTGTGTTTTTGTCCAAATAAGGAAATATGAATAAAACAAATTCTCTAGCATTGTTAGATTCCTGCTGCTTTGTATGCGATGTTGTAGTGCTACCCATGCCGTTTCATCCTACTGTAGTGCTTTAATGTTTTTTGGATGCTATAATTTAACTCTTTTAGTATATTCTAGTTAGGTGATACATCACACAAGGAGTAGGACTGATGCTTCAGAGGTTTGCAATAAGTAACTAGGTATAAAAATAAAACCGGGCCAATAGCTTTCATGTGAACATTTGTCTTGGTGTGGGACCATTAATGCACCCCCCATGCAGTTGTTTAACTTACAATTCTAGCATCCACTCATTGCAGTTGTTTAACTTACAATTCTATGTTTAAATACAACATGTTGAATCTTGAGCCTATATGGTGTAATATACTAATTTATACTTTGTTTTGTTTTTTTTTTTTTTTTTTTTTTTTTTATTTTTTTATTTTTTTATTTTGAAGATTGGAAAAGACAATGTAGGTGCAACAAGAGAATAGGCCGAGACACTTGAGCATCAACAAACGACTATATCGTCTATAAGGCCATCATCTATCTATTTTGGGTTTTAGTCTTACATTAGTGATGTATTTATTTAGGGACAAGCTACTATAATATGCGATGTTTTTTTTTTAAAATAATTGTGTTGATGTTTTCTTTTATAAATTTGATAATTAACTACGTACTCTTATTATTGTTAATTAATTTTTTTTTATCTAGTTATATAGAATAGTTCCTTATTATTATTTTAATGTTATTAATTTAATTTATGATAAATTTAAATAACTTTAATGTATTTATGATGATAATATTATAATTTAATAAAAGAAAAAAAAAAAGCTTAAAAAAAATTCTAGACACTTTTTAATGTCTACATAATTGCACATTTTCAAATTTCAAAGACTTTCCCACCATACCATAGGCTGACACGAATAAACGCAAGACAACAAAAAGCGCCGCTAAATTGGAGTATGTAGACACGGAAAAGCATCGCTAAAAAACTATACACATTTGGGATAATGCGCGAAATACCTAATTTTCGACGCTTCGTATACTATTTAGGAAACAAAAAAGCGTTGAGATTCTCGAGTCCCTGAAAATTTTCGACTCACGTATTTTCGACGCTTTTTAGCAGCGTTGAGAAATAATTTTTTGACGCTAAAAAGCGTCGAAAAAAGGCCTAAAAACCGTCTAGAAAACACGCTTTTTGTAGTAGTGCCCATGGCGAATCTATTTTTTTTTTTTTTAGTCAAGAGTGGGTCAAACGACGACTCCTCTTAACTGCACTCATATTTTTTTTAAAAAAAAGAATTACAAATTTGAAAACTCTATTATTAGGGCTATCATACTCATTTTATCTAGTTTTGATTATATATTATTCGCTAGATCAACAACATGGAGCAATACAATTAATTAGATACATTTGTCAACTTATAAATTTGATCGTAAATCATAACGAATGGAAATGCATGTGCATTAGGGTCTGTTCTCATTGATTGAACTCAGCTGAACTGAATTGAACTGAATTGAACTGAACTGAACTGAACTGAAATGAATATTTTATAAGAGAAGGAAATTAGGAGCTGAACTGAACTGAATTTCAACGTATGAGAACAGGCTTTTAGTATATACATATAATCAAAACTATTATTTTAAGTATAAATAAATAATGAAATAAGTTAAACTATGCTATAATTTATCTTGAAGACAAGATTAGGGCTTGTTCTTTTGAGCTTTTGAACAGAGAATCTTGTTTATATTCAGTAGAGCAGAGCATGTGTCAGGACTATCAGCAAATCAGGATAACTTATTTATACTCAGTAGATAAAGACTCGAAAGATCAAAGTTAAACAAAGCAGATTATAACAACTCAAAAGAACGAGGCCTTTCTTTTACCGACTTAGGGCCTGTTCCGATTGACTGAACTCAGCTGAACTGAACTGAACTGAACCGAACTGAACTGAATTGAACTGAACTGAATTGAACAAAACTTATTAATTTGTGATTTTTAACTACGGATTAGTGATCTTTGATTATTTATTGATTATTTATTACTATACATATGTGTATATACAAATGTACATGTTAAAATATTTACGAAAAATATACTATATAATTATAAAATTTATGGAAAATATATTAAAAACTTGAAACCTCTAAACATTTTAAACACATATTGATTATTATTAGGAAAATTTGTTTGGAAGGGACTTATATGTTCACTATTTTTTCTGGAAGGACCTTATATGCTGAAAGTTGTCTAAAAGGACCTTATAAGTATGTTTTGTTGTTTGGAAGGACCTTGATATCGGAATTCGGCATTTGACTTTGATTCTCCGGCATTGTCCCCGCACGTGCATGTCACATGGCATTAAAAAAAATATCCTCTCCCTTTTTTTCCCCTTAACATTGGAATCCGACGTTTGACTTTGCTAGTGTTGTGAAGGCTAGGGTTGGAGGAAAAAGGGGAAAAAAAAAGAGAGGGTAATTTTTTTAATGTCACGTTACATGCACGTGGGGGGTGAACGCCGGAGAATCTAATTAAGTTAAACGCCGGACTCCGATGTCAAGGTCCTTATAAACAACAAAACAAACTTATAAGGTCCTTTTAGACAACTTTCAACATAAAAGGTCCTTCCTCACAAAATAGTGAATATATTAGTCCCTTTCAGACAAATTTTCCTTATTATTATTATTATTATTATTATTGTTGTTGTTGTTGTTGTTGTTGTTGTTGTTGTTGTTGTTGTTGTTGTTGTTGTTGTTGTTGTTGTTGTTATTTATTGATGATTATTAGGAATTTTTGACAATTACCACCTTCTGTTATGTCTATTTTAGCAATTACCACCTTCTATTTTTTTTTTTTTTTGAAAATTACCACCTTCTACTTTCAAAAACATCAAAAGTTACCACTTTCTTGCCCCCCAACTACCACATGACACTATTTTGGGTCCATTCTTTCTCTTCCCTCCCTATTTCCCTCACATTTCTCATTCCTGTTTGGATTTTCATCTCCCCTTTCACTCCCCAAAACACCAATAATTGTTCGTCAATTTTGATTTGGAGGAGTGAATTGAAGTGGTTTTGATTGTTTAGGGGAAAAAAAGTGAAAGGAGGGATGAGAATTGAGTTAGGAATGAGAAATGTGAGGGAAATAGGAAGGAAAGGGAAAATATGAGCCCAAAATGACGTCATGTGGTAGTTGAGAGACAAGAAGGTGGTAACTTTTGATTTTTTGAAAATAGAAGGTGGTAATTTTCAAAAAAAAAAATAGAAGGTGGTAATTGCTAAAATGGACTAAACAGAAGGTGGTAATTGTCAAAATTTCCTGATTATTATTATTATTATTTATTGATTATTATTATTAGTATTAGTATTATTATTTCAATTATTATTGTTATTATTATTATTATTATTATTATTATTATTATTATTATTATTTATTGATTATTATTATTATTATTATTATTATTATTATTTATTATTTATTACTTATTGATTATTATTGTTGTTGTTGTTTTGTTGTTGTTGTTGTCGTTGTAATAAGAACTTAAAAGAATGAAATTTGGCTTTATATCATTAGCAATATCATTAGACATAAATTAAGAGTTGAACTGAACTGAACTGAGCTGAACTGAACTGAACTGAACTGAACCCTTATAGGAGTAAATTTAATGGAGAAAGATGGGGGAGCGACAAGTTGATAATATGTGTGGACAGAAGTAGGAAAGGGTCAAATAAAGGTGTTAGAATATATGGCAAGCCATATATTATGAGTTGACTTTGTATATAACTAATTTGGTTAGTGTAGATTTATTAGCCTTGTTTATAGCCTAGTTTCTAGCTAATCAGTTGACATGATTATCGCATGTATTTTGTATATTTATACCCACAAGATAATCAATGGAAATCAACGATCACATTACTTTCATGGTATCAGTTAGGGTACGATCCTAGCCTTCCTTCTTCCCTATCATTCACGGCCCTCCTTCTTCTTCTTCCTTGAATTTTCCCTCTTAATTCCGCTGCAACATTCCATGGCAGAAACACCTAAATATCACCCTGCTTTCGCAATCACAAATGTGAAATCTCTCATTCCAATTACATTGGACACCGCCGGAATGTATCACTCTTGGGCCGCCCTCTTCAAGGTGTTGTGTAGGGTTCACGACCTTACATATCACATCATACCTCCTACGGAGGCGACGGAACTCGCAGCATATGAGAAATCCAAAATGGCAGACTTGGCCTATTGGAAACGACTTAATGCCGTGGTCCTTAATTGGATTTACGGTTCCATCTCTCACATCCTCCTTACTGCCATCCTCCTCAAGGATGACACCGCTCAAGGCGCTTGGGCTCGACTTGAGTCTATGTTTCAAGACAACAAAGCAGCCCGAGCCTCCCATCTTGAACAAGAACTTGTTGATCTTGATTTCGAGAATTTTACCTCGATTGACGACTACTGCAATCACATCAAATCCCTTTCCGATCGTCTTGCGGATGTTGATGCCCCGATTCCCGATACTCGTCTCACTCTTAAGTTGACGGCTGGCCTTCCCGAGGCATATGCCGGCACGGTGGACTTTATCCAAAATCAAGAACCATTGCCTTCCTTTGAAAGTTGCCGTCTCTCGATTGAAATTAGTGGAACGGACCATCAAACACCGTCTTGCTAAAGAGGGGGGTCCACGACTCGCTCTCCGACCGCCCTTGTATCCACTAGCCATCATCAGTCGGACTCCTCTGTTCATTCCTCTAGACCAAGCAACAAAGGAGGAAAACTAAAGAAGTCCAACTCCAAATATTATGGAAAGCCGCGCAACACTAGCTCGGCCCAGCAGCAGTCCCGCCCAACTAATGGGCAGCCATGGTTCTTTCAGCAAGGCCAGTACGGTTGGCCAGGTTCTTGGGCTCCTTGGAAGGCCCAGTGGCCCAATCCCCCCTGCCTATATCCTAATCAGTCATGGGCTCTAAAGCCTGCTACCTCTTCTTCTGGGTCACGAGCTTCTGGGCCTGGTATATTGGGCCCGGCTCCGCAAGCTTACAATGCTGTGGATAATGGTCCGACTCCTTCCCCAACACATATCGAAGCGGCAATGCAAATGCTTGCTAATCTCAACCGTCCGGATAATAATTTTTATATGGACACTGGAGCCACATCTCATATGACGGCCGATCAAGGTATTCTTTCTTCCTATGTTAATTCGAGCATTAAAAATCAAAACATTGTTGTTGTTAGTGGTGATTTAATTCCGATTATTGGTCATGGTAGTGCTACTTTGCCCACCCCATACCCTCCTTTTACCCTAAACCATGTTTTGCATGCTCCCAAATTAATTAAAAATTTAATATCCGTCCGTAAATTCACAACTGACAATATGGTTTCTATTGCTTTTGATCCTTATGGGTTTTTTTGTGAATGATTTACAGACGGGGGCCAACCTAATGAGATGTGACAGTACTGGTGACCTATATCCAATCTTTCCAACCCGACAAGCCAACCCTTCTGTCCAACATTCAAATTTTATTGCTCTCTCTTCCGATCTTTGGCATAATCGACTAGGACACCCTGACGATGCCGTTCTTAGATCATTAAATAGTAAAAAATTAATTGAATGTAATAAGGCTTGTAATTCTTTTTGGTCTTCATGTCCTCTAGGGAAACATGTTAAATTACC